TTAAACCTAACTTCTCTATGGGTTTTCTATGATAAATGTGGAAAATACTACTGAATTTCTTATATATTTTAATCGTAGATTTTTCCTAATACACTATTTCACTTTTCACACGAATCTATAGACGATTTTCAGATACTCGTACCAGATAAATCCATGCGACCCCAAAGAATATGTCCAATGACTAAATGAATGTTTATGAATGAATCGGACAATTCTCCTAAAGATTTTAAGGACCGAGTTGAGGTGAATGGCTGTTCCATAGATTGGAATTCCAATTGGCTTAAATTTTTGCCGCAGACGGATCTTGAGAGAGCTAGCTGATTGATGCATCTCTCAAGATCTACACAAATGAAAGCGTGAAACTCTATTTTTATTTTTCGAAAATTTCCGTGGCAGTTTTCAACTGCATCTAATTGTATCTGTTTTCATATTAACGGTAACTAACAAGCATACCGCCCCGCCGTCGTAGCCGTATTTTTAGCAGAAAAAAAAAACAAAAGTTAACATCAAAGCTAATAGCTACTTGTACGGTTTCCAAATCGTTTTACATGTCTGCTGGACAAATAGGTCCCATCTGAATCTCGCACAATACTATACCTTAAAAAAGAGGTGATTCCGAGAATTTGTTCACTTAAGTAGAATAACTGAGCATGCTAGATAAAAAGTGTTAGAAAAACGAAGAAAAAAGTCAGCGACACTCAGCTGCTACCCTTACTCGATAAAACTGACAGGCAGCATGTATCACATGTACTTGGTTTATACAAAGCTGCTAAGCAAAGTTATTTTTTCTCCTTGACCGAAAACGTTTCGAACTTCATAAGATCCGAGACTAGGCGTAGAGAAAAGGTATCGTGTTGCCAAAGGCATCCGGAGCAATCGTGTAACTTACTGTCGACCTCTATTAACAACAAGAAGTAAAATTCATAATATTATGGATTATTTTGGGGTAAAGAGAGACCTAACGAACAACTGTTAAGTATCTGTGTTTTGTAGGTAAATACGACGTTGCTATACTGGGGTCACATCCAATAGGTATCGCTTGTCCGTTATATTCCTTCACTTATCTATCCCATTAGCTCGGCCATTTGGCGACTTTGCCTAGAAACAAAAGCATTTACTTGTGCCAAGTGTTTAAAGGTGAATTGGGGTCGAAATATATCTGTATTTTAATGGCAAGCACACACTCGTGCAATGGAAAGGCTTTGCCAATGCAAGATAATAAGTATATTTCCTGACAATATTAGGAATGAATGGAAATACACTCAATGTGGTTAAAAGTATAGCTCCTTATGGGAATTTTTAATTTTATATTAAAAAAAAACATTCACTCTCCAGGAGTTTCACGATAATTCAAAGATATATTGTCAATTTTGTTCTATTTTTGCAGAACTATTGTGATGTTTAATTAAGTTCCGTAGCCGCTAGAATCATTTCAGTGGAAAACGAAAGTCTAGAACAACGGATAAAATATTTACAATATAACACTCTCTTTATATAGCAGTCTACCAATTATTTCTCCATGAAAATAGAATTTACGCCTAAAAACAGTGTAAATGCTTCTCCCCCTGAACACTATGGGATTCGATCTTAAACGGCCATAGGAATTCAACAGCCTAAGTTTCTTGTAGATTTGATCAAAACTAGACATTTCTGCATGTCACATAAATAAAGTTCGTGGACAACCATAAAACAATCCAGCAGCTTTTATTATGTTAATTTACTTATAGTCAAAAAGACATGGTCGCCGAGCGTCTCCTTCGCAAGCCATCACTGCTCTTCTATCAGCCACCGAGTTCTTGTGCCTCCTGGCTTCAGCCAGTTTTTTTTTTATAGTTTAAAGCAAAACTACTTTGACAAGAACTGTTCCATTGAATCTTCATTCATTTCTAATTAAATTTATGCATCAGCATGCGTTCGAAGTATACGTGCCGTGTCGGGAAGGGGTTGATGATACTCATTTATAATATCATGGATCCAGATAAATGATCCGCGCATACTCTTATGTACCCTGTTTTTTTTTATAGCAACCATTGGGACTGTATGTGTATGTGTTGCATTTGTGAAAACGCTCATAACTTCTAAGCGAGATCTCTCGATATTAAGTTTGAGAAGCGAGTTGGACGACACCATATTGGCATTGGTGACCGCTAGGCTGGTTGATCGTGCTAAGTTACAGGACTTTAGTTCCGCATAATAATCAAGTTTATGCGAAATAATTAGGTAATTCATTAGCTTTAATCTTGCGGCGTCGAGATATCTTCTTAAATTCCTATATAACCTTCATTGCACAAATTACAATTGAAATCTCGGAATGCGCGCATTTTAGTACTACCCTAGAGTTACACCCTTGCTCCCACTAGGTTTTCCAGTTTGTGAGCTTGACCAAAGCTTGACCGCATTTTCACGTAGAACGTCGCACGAGGCTCTCTACAGCAGGCGTATGACAGCCAAACCGCTTTTCACAGTTTCATATATATATAGAAACTATTATGTTCCCTGCCGAAGAGTTCACCAACTAGCCAAAATTTCCTCAAATCAAAATGAAAGTTGACAACATTATCCTCCAAGTACTGTTATTCCGCATGAGTTATATATCCCATCCTTTGATTTCAGCCGAGCGGCACCTGCTTTGCAGTTATCGCCTTTAGTAAGTCTTATGGGTCTATCTTGATCTGAGTACGGATCGGATCAATGTCTCGATTAATCTGATCGACCGCTAGGATTATCAAGGAGTGGACAATAGGCCGTTGTTCCGATTCGCAAGATTCTTCATTCAAGCTTGCTTATTCATAGGATTTACAATGATAAATGCTGTATGATGAGCTGTATAATGATTCATCTATAAAGGTTCTTTCGTCTTAGGACGCATTGGCGAGCTCTTTTATGTAACTTTCTTCTGAAGAATGTTTGTCTTCCGTTATGCTTTGTCTTGTTAGCGGCGCACGTCCATAATAGATACTCTATTTCGTGTGGCTGAATTATTGATATGTTCACCGTTGAATGCAGGTTATGTCCAAGCATCAGAAGTTCCTTGTTTTGAACCGTTCGTGCGCTGTCTGTCCTAACGATTAATGACCACTTGGGGCTAAGAAACATATTATAGCAGAAGCAGTTGTTTTGGCGACCTTTGGAGTAGATTCAAGCGTTAAATTGGAAACTAGGTATGCTATACACACCAGTTAAAGGTTGGCGTCTCATTTCCTTGAAGTTAAAGTTCAATTTTTGCTGAATCGTCAAGTGTATCACATATACTGGGGCAATTTTTGAGAAAGAAAACATTGATCATGTTCTAAATCATATGCGAATGTATGCATTGTTACATAAGGTCGATTTCAGAGTTAGAGATTTTGTGGACGCGTTGCCATGCTATATTAGCGGGGCGGGCGGTCTCTCGCAGCACCAACCCCTTAACATGCTCGTCCCCATACGTCAACGTTCTGAAACGTACTTTTTGTTTTCGCGATTCTTCTTTATGTCAATTAAGCGAAAAAAGTAGTGATTTTTTTATCGTTCGTCGCCAATTGGCGCATTGGTTGAATATTCGTTGTTAGGTAACTGTTTTCTCCCGTCTATGCTCAACTACGCAAAACTCTATTGAAATCACTATCATCACAGTACTTGCTGCGCCTGTTGTAACTCTACGGGCGCGACGAATTTAGCTGTGTGATTCTTAGTCCCATGTTCATGTATCTATCGCGTGAACCCCGTGCGAAATCGAGGTCGCGCGCGAATCAAGTTGAAAGTGAAGGACGCGCGTTAGCCATGGGCCACTTCAAAGGTTCCTGCGTGCTGAGTCACGAACAGCGAGAGTTCACATCTTAGCCAGCTCTTATCTCGGTTAGTGTTTTCCGTCCGGGTCACCTGCAGTATCGGTTCCCTGTTCTATAGCCCGAATTGACGGAAGGCGTTTTCCTCCTTTTATTTGCTCTTCTGTATCTGTCGGGATATTTTTAGCCAGTTACAGCGGTTCATTCGGTACTTCGATGCTGTCCTCTCCTGGCTGGCGGCGAATCTCTTACGTGCGTGTGAGAGAGAGGGAACGGCGTATTCAATCTGCTATGCTGTTAATCGCAAAAAACGCCGCATCTGTCTGTGCCATGTCATGCAGCATCCAACATCGAATCCCTTTACGACGCCGCGGAGTTGAGGAGCTCGTCGGCGACGCGATGGTGCCGCTATGTCTGCTGCTGCTGCTGCCGCCGTCGTCGCCATTGTTGCTGTTGTCGTGCCAACAACACACATCATGCCACTCAGACTGACTCTACTACTAGCTCAGCTGATCCAGTGATTTTTCTGGGCGCCTTTTGCTTGTCAGTGTTCCCATTTTTCGCAGCGAACAGCAGTTCGACAGCTTCGTGCCAGTATCGGTGACGACGGCAGCTATGTTGAAGCCGATGAAGGGACATCGTTTTTTCCACGAAAGATCCGATGCCGAAAGGAAGAGGAGTGGACGTCAACGACAGCCAGGTCCGTCTGTCTGCCGCCTGGCAGTTGGCGTTCCGGTGCCACGGCTCTAACCGTCGTCGAAGTGAGCTTTTGCGGCGCGTTCGCGATATCGAGCCTGGTCCTGGTCGGCAGCAGCGGCGACGACGACGACGGGGTGCTTGTGGCATTCGTTTGTGAAGATACCCTGCCTATGGTGATCACCGTGTTCCGCGCGCGCTCATCAGCGTCGGCGATGTCCCTCTTTTTTCGGACAGCACTGCGACGGCGGCAGTTCGCGGCTGCCGTCGTTCCGTCGTTGGGTAACTGCGGACGCTATAGCAGCGTTTCCTACAGTTGAAGCGACTGTTACTGCTCGCAGGAGTCCTTCTCGCCGTTGGTCGTTACCTGTTTTCGCCCTTTCCGCCGACCACGGGTTCGGGAGACCCGATGTGCGCTTAAAAGCGGGTCCTGACCCTCGGACTGGCACATCGACTCAGCAGCTGCGAGCATCATTACTCAAGGTAGGTCGCATCTCGAGGACCGGCCTCGGAGTGTATCGTTGTGCCGGCTCGTGCGGATGGAAGATGCTCATCAAATAGACAAAGAGCACTCAAGCAATCAAAGTCTCCTTCTTCGCATCACCCATGCAGTCTTCGTTAGACCCGTACTCGTAGCCAAACGCCCATACCAGTCATAGTATAATTCTATTGCTACTACCACACCAACTATAACCACCACTACCAGTAGTACTAGTAATAGAAAAAAAAACCACAGATCAGCTAAGAGAGTGTCCCCCTGGCCCTCTTTCCCCTATCCCTGCCCCCCAGTCACCCACGAAGTGTAAAGTGGAATGTTGTTTTGTAAAACCGTAAACGCCGGACAAGGCCTACCCGTATTTTTCGTAATGGAAAACTCGCTCATGTTATGCCGTTATTTCGACGTCGAGTGTGGTGTCACCGAATTCAGTGCGCTGTCTGTCTGTGGCTTAGTCGATAGAAAATATCAAAGACGAAGCCCACCGTGGGTGACCCTGTGCTGACTGTGTGTTCCCGTTAAAGGAGCCGTAGATAAATCAACAGGCTTGAATTAGGAGGAACTCTTCAAAAGACGACGTTTATCTCTATTTCAAATTGATACCGAACACGGACTGCGTGCTCACTTGGATACCGCCCATGGGCGATGTCAGGAAACGCTGATCGATTTTAGTTTCTTGACAAACAGTGTTTTTACCCTGGAGTATATGTAGCTACGGGCAATCAATCAATATTTTTCTACCTTCACATTGTAGAATATACATCTTGAATGTCTCTACTGGAATTAAGGGACAAACTGTTTTTCTTTTTTTTTTTTTATAATTAAGATAGGCCTATGCTATTTACCAAACTTCATTTACTGGTAAATGAAGTTTGGTAAATATCGATTTTTCCGGTGTTATAAGCTAATACTTCTTTTGGCAGTTTCTAACAGGTGATTAGCGTAATACATAGGGCTGGAATAATTTAGGTACTGAATCACTCTTCTCCATTGTCACCAGAGAGCAACCTTATGAAGCAGGTAGTTAAGAATACTTGATTTTTGACGCCAATAATTAATGGAATTTTCATACAACTATTTTTGCAGAATTCAAAATGAAACTGATTATTTTCGCTGCCATCGCTGCAGTGGCGTTGGCTGCCCCTCAGGGAGCGCGGCCTGACTTTGACAGGCCTGGCAGCCGGCCAGCTAACCAGATCGGTTCCGGATTGGATTGCCGGTACCGTTGCCAGCTATCGCAATGTGGCCAACAGCGCTGTAAGTACGCCTGTTACCGGCCGGCGGTTTGCGAACATAACGCCAAGGTAACCCAGTACGCCTCTGGCCTCGACGAGCAGGCTCCAGGGGCCCCTGCTGCTGGAGACGCTCCGCTCATTGCAGCAAAGGATCCGCAGCCGTCCGCTGTTGAGGTCCCGACTGCACCGGCTGACGCACCTGAACCTGTCTCAGTGATCATCGCGGCTCCTGCCCGAGAGGCTGCTCCAGCTGTTCAGGCTGCACCCGCTGTAGTTGCCGCAGCTGTCGCTGCCGAAAAGGTTGCGCCCGTTGAAGTGCCTGTCGTCGCACCCATGGCCGCAGCTCCGGCAGCTGTTCCCGTCCCGGCAGCGCTCGCTGAGCCTGTCGCCGTTCCTATCGAGGTTGCCAAGGCTGAGGAAACTCTGGTTGCAAAACCTCTCGCCGCCTCGTCTCTCATCGCTGAGAAGGTTGAGCCTGTCGCTCAACCCGTTGAAGTTTCAGCCATTGCTCCCGTAGAGATCCCCATGGCTATGCCCGTCGAGAAGGTCGCCGTTGAGAAGATGCAGGCTACAGAGAGCGTTCTGGTTCCGGTAGCTATGCCAGCTGCAGCTTCTGCCTCTGCGACTGCCCCTGCGATGGCCCCAATGGCCGCCGCGCCCGTTGCTGCCGCGACTCCTATAGCTGCTCCTATGGTGTCTGCCCCTGCAGCTCCTGTACCTGTGGAGATTGTAAAAGCTGAAGTTGCCCAGCCCGAGCTGGTAAAAGTCGAGATGCCTATGAATCAAGCAAGTGGACAACAGGAGAAGCCTTCCCCCATGGCCCCCCAGAAGCCCGCTGCCCCCGCTAAGGAGGAGCCCATGAAGAAAGAGAAACCTATGCTTACTGCTGCCGTCGCGCAGGAAGCCAAGGAAGTTATCAAGGTATTGTAGCGATGCTTTAACAGAAGGAGACTCACATGGAGCTTGCTGCTACATGTATTATAATTTTTTAGCCATCATGGCGCGTTTCAAAAATGCTTTTCGTCGGTTAGGCACAACAGTTGTACATCGACTTTTAAAACACTTGTTTATTTAGCAAAAGCTTGCATAAGTTTAGTTTGTTCTTATTCAGAACTAATGCTCGTCGTCTAATTTTTTTTTATCTTACAGATTGGTGAGACCGCCGCTCCCGTAGATCTCGCCGCCCCCGTCAAAGCTGCGGCTCCCGCCCAGGAAGCTTCCAAGGCGCCTGCACCAACCCCTCAGGCCCTGCACGCTAGCCCTGCCGAAGAAGCTAAGCCCCTTGGAGTGTAGTAATTCATCTGGTTGTGTGTATCATAACAACAGTACACTCGCGACTGGCCCTGAGAAACGAACGGATCCAAACATCTCAACATAAACTGCCTCTACCAGTGTCTTCTTTTACAGCTTCATAGAAGCCCATTACTTCCCTCACACACTGCCCTTGTATCCAGTGTGTGATGGAGGACCTGCAATCTCTGAGGCTCATTTGTGATATATAATCATCCAACTTCAGCTGATCGACTTCAAAAATATTTATTCAGTCACCGGCAGCTTGAGCGGTCGGGCGACAATCCTATTCATTTACTCGGTGTGACTATTTATTTTAGATTACAAAACGTTAGCTATTGATAACACATCCAACAACGACGCCTAACATATGATCTGGAAAATATAAGAATAAATATAGAATTCATTTAAGAACCGTCGTATGGCGGAGCAAAGATATTATTGAGTCGTTTATTTGATGTGGGCTTGAATATTATTGAAGTAGAGAAACACTTCCTACCCTATTGCATGAGAACTAATAAAGGTAACTGTCACACATTTTTTTGTCGCTAGATGGTGTTTGAAGTGGTTCCTTAGCCTATCTACGCTTTCAGCTTGTATGAGGTAGTTTTATTGTTTTGATGATAACAGATTAGACGAAATAGGGGGAGTTTGACGGGCCATATTATTTTCTCAAAAGGCAGCGTTCTTCTTAAAAATGAGAATTAGCAATAGTCAACCTTTCCACGGTGTTATATAATTTGGAATTTCAGTAAATCGTGCTAGATCAGTGATGAACACTATAAATTCCACTCCTCGTACATACTTTCCTTTGCCTAGGCAGCTTTCAGGTGCAAGTGAAGTATCTGTGATTTACGAATCGGCATCTTTGACGAAGGCAGCAAAATATAGGTGAATCATGAATTATGATTTACATATCAAAAACAGCACTATTTTCTATGAAAAACAGCACGTGCACGATAATGCTGTTGTCTGAACGGCTGCTTCGTGCAAAGGTGCATTTGTCCTCCTACCTATTTCATGGTACTCCACAAACGTGGTTCACGTACTGTTGTGAGTCTTATAAAAATATAAATCAGCTTCTTTCAGATTGCTTTATATTAACAAGTTATTGGATAGTTATAAGAGCATTGCACTGGAAAGCCTTTAAAAAGCATACAGTAGCCCGAAACATTATTTGGCAAACAACCGTCATCAACGGCCCGTTAAGTAACCTTTGCCCCATATGCGTTTACCTCGTGAAAAACGACCTATATTAGATTGTACAGATTAGATTGTACAGGTATCATACTGATAGTAACTGAAATTATACCTTATATATCGCTAAAAATTAAATGGTGAACGTTCCGTTTATTAAGAACGCAAATTTTACGTCTGGAATTAAACTAGGACTATGCTACTGCCTTAAACAGCCAACTTGTTTGTAAATTATATTACAAGTAATGCACGAAGTCATGCTTTTTACTGCTTACGCTTTCAGTATATGATGCTTGTGTAACTAAGAAGTAGAGCCGTAAAATCCATATGTTTTTCCCTGTGGTAATTCTTAGCCATTAATAATCCACAGGAGCAGGCGTTAATTTGCTTCTAACACGTTATAAGGCCAAATAAAAGAACCGTACGAGTCGTAGGACAAACTTGGTGTGGATGCGGGTTATCGCGTGTGCGTGTGGCGCTGGTTTTTACAGCGGCGGGCGGACTGGGTCAATCTTCGCTTTTTCTTCAGATAGGCTAGTAGTGACATTAGACGGTTGAGCATGGTTAATGCTAGTTATATCCGAGTAGTGGCGCTTAGCCCTCGGAGAAATGTTTTACGTGGGAATTTTCTGTTTCCGACTTTCTTCCGAATTTTCTGTTGTCACCGACATTTGAGCTAAAAGTGTTATCCAAATGCCGACTCGAATAAAAAGATTGAGGCAAAACGATCTCGACGTAGTCTGGCCTTGCCTAACAGATGAATGTTTTCCAAATAATAACCTAAGAATTACTTTTTATTCACTGTTCACCGCATTGATGCTAATTGCTTTGTAACTCCAAGTCGGATAGGACGCTTTGTACGATGAGCTTTATCAAGCACAATTATAGGTGAGCGAGCATCTTCGAGTCTCACTGACCTGAAGCCCTCGCTCAGTATATGGTTGGTAACCACAAAGATATAAAATTATAGTTGCGCTTTATCATCGCGGTCATATAGGTTGCTTAAGGCATTCGGCGACTATTTCGTTCAGACCTGAGTTAATTTTACTTCTTTATTCTCTGTAAGTAGGTACTTGAATAGCGACGTTCGTTGTATAATAAAAAAAGGAAAACGAAGTACCCAAAATGGCACTTCACAGGGATGTCAAACTTCAATTTTAGGTCGATTTCATGGTTTAACAATATTACCCTCCCTGTTTGGAGTTATTCTTTCTTGATACAAACTTTCTTGGTACGTACTGGATGTAAAAGAAATTCAGTGTTTCAGTAAAAATCATCCATTTAGCAAGATCAATGAGACGATCTTATTGAACTTATATTATTTTGCCTTTTCCAGCCACAGATATACCTATATGTTGATCTTTTTTAAATTTTTACCTATATTTGGATCATATGCACGATTAGGACCAAGTACGTATCTCCTGTCAATCCATACTGTAGCAAAGTGCACTATAATATTACTCCACTTCCAGTAGCCTGGAACAACATTTAGCCAGAGCCCCATTTTCGCCTACCATTATTCTGTTATTTCTTCTAGTCAAATCTGAACTTAGTTTAATGCTGCCTACTCTAAGTCTGACTTTAGGCTAACTATAGTTGCAGTTCCGCTATTTCTATTACATTGTTCGAATGCTTCCTTTATCTGGATACAATTATTCATTTACCTTAGTTCCGCCTTGTTTAGTGCCTCGATAATATCCAATATTTGACCCGTTACGAAAAATGTTCTCCGTGTTTCAATTAGCTCGCTACTTTACTTTTCTAATTAGTTTTTTTTAATTGCCCTCTAGCAAATGACCTTCTATTGCAAGCAACCCGTTAGCCCGCTACCCCCTGCGGTGAAATCTACCTGAACCTTGTAGTTTACCTAACCGCTGCGAATACTGTGCAAAAGTGGAAAAAAGAATTGTGTGCAAAAAACTAATTAATTTTGGCATTGTATCATAAAATCATTTGAAACATTTATATCGTCCATAAAAATCTGTTTTCTCCAACTACTGTAAGCGTCCATAGGATCTAGAGTTTATATCTTTTGGCATAAAACGTCATTGAAAATTTCCCGGATGCGTTTTTTCTCAACTCTTATGCTAGCGTTTTCCGTCAATCCACGCTTGTACTTATATATTAATATATATATATATATATATATATATATATATATATATATATATATATATATACGCTGCGTTTACATTCGGCACGGCTACAAGATAAGACAATCTAATTTAAAGTCACGCCACGGTGCTCCAGGGATATGAAAATTCTTTTGCATCTACGAGGATGCTCCTCGTTGCCTATACACACATTCTGGTTTCAGCAACTGTTATTAGGTGGTTCATCTGGCCAACAAATACCAAATCTGATTTCTTATGATAATTTTGTTGCACTGGGCCTGTAAACCACATTGTGTGCGTTCGAGACTTATCGTTCGCGGCGCGTTAAGCCCTATAAAATCATATTTCGAATACAAATGGAGATGGGATTAGGTAATTAAACGCTCTTGTTTATACAACGAAAGCACATTAAGACAAATATTTCTCTAGTAGAGCCTCTTTTTCCTAAATCTAAACTAATTTTGTCCTGGCTGCACGCTTATGATTTACCTGATTTCTCCACCTACCCGTCCTCGCCATAAATTAGGTTCGATGTTATTAGTTTTTTTTTATATTTCTTTATATCATTCCATTGTTTGTTCACTTGTTGCTTTCTTTTTTAATATGGTATTACATCTTTTGGAATTTAAACGTTGCAATGAAGCTCTTTTACTACTGGTCTAATGACAGCTTTTGGCCTGGTTAAAGGGCTAAATAGGCCACTCGCGAAATGAGTAAAACAGTAAAAAACGGCACCGCAAACGTTTGTTATTTCTAAAAAAACCCGAACGGACCGTTTTACTGGGCAGACAGTAATAGATAAACGCTTTGCCGACCTAAATTACTTTAGGTTTGGTGTCTGACCAACACTTAACAACGGCATCGAACGTGAGCTTGAAGCATTTACGAGATAGCTTATTAAAGACTTTTTTTTGCTTTGATGACTGCCATCAAGTCCGTACTAGAGATTCGGGGGAAAAGTTAGATTTGCTAATTAAAATTAAAAGATAATTTCAACGTTGTCGTATCGTTGCAAAGAAGGTGTCACGAATTTCTGCCACTAACCACTGTTACTGACGATTCAGGATGATGAGACTTCACCACCGAAGAAAGAGAATAAGTGCGTTTAAAATAAATTCTGGCAATTTGGACTATGAAAGGGCGCTGGTTTTGACGCTCCGATCATAATAAAGAGAGCGCAATATTATAGTCTCAAAGTGATTACTTGATGGTTACGCCTGAAAGGCAGATTAGAAGATGCATCCGGTAACCTGAAAATTCAAGCCTATTTAGTTCAGCATTTTTGCTATCTGTTCAGACGAGCCGTCTTTCTTCCCTGTTAGAAATAATGATACATTTGAAGGTTGTTATAAGGTAAATACATAAAAAAGCACCAGCTGTCTTCGGGGAAATGCAGCAATTCTTCTAGGAATTACCAAATTTCTTTTCAACTAGATACCCATTTTAGACAGTACTAATTCTGCGGTACCTATGGTGGTCTACTGTAGCCTGCCGTCTGAATGAAAATGGCTCCAATTTTCACTAGCATTAAATAAAGCGGTACATATTTCATTATTTAGCGATTATAAGAATCTATAATGGATAAAAATTTCAACACTTGCAAAAAATTACGTAATTTTTAGCATGAAATTGACTTGATTGCATATGTAAATTGGCCGTTCGACCGGTACCCATCTTGAAGGGAAGGCTATCTCTCTTCATGTTTGAAGACATTTGGCTTTTTCTTCTTCACTATGCCTGTTGGTTCGTTGTTATTCTGCGTTATCAGGGTTACTCGAGAGATAGAGAGATGGATAGTTGTACACGTGCAGCACGATACGATCCATGAGTTTTATCTTTTAAGCAGGATCTGAATTTTGCATTCGTGATAGTTGGCTTGAAGGTCTTCCCTCGAATGATGAACAATTCGTGCCTGTTTGCCCCTCTGAAACCAAGTGTAACACAAATCGAATTGTTGTCAAGATTCACCGATAGATTGTTTCTAGGTGCTTTAAAAATTATCGTTAGGAGGGGCAAAGTGTCGAAATGTGGCTTCTGCTGGTGTTATACAATGCTTTATTTTAGTGTAAAATGGCTGAAAATGTCGCTTTTGTGAAAAATGTATATATTTCGTTCGTACATTAGCTT